ATGGCTGCTATGGGGATAAAAGGAGAGAGAGTCACGGTGTGGCCTCCATCCTCCCCTGACCTCAATCCTATTGAGAACCTTTGGAGCATCCTCAAGCAAAAGATCGATGAGGGTGGGAGGCAGTTTACATCCAAACAGCAGCTCTGGGAGGCTAATCTGACATTTGGCAAACAAATTCAAGCAGAAACTGTCCAAAAACTCACAAGTTCAATGGATGCAAGACTTGTGAAGCTGCTATCAAATAAGGGGTCTTATGTTAAAATGTTAAAAGTTTGATTGGAATAGCTTTTGATTTCAGTAAATATGCTGCAAACACAACAAATGACAATTTTCAGTTCTTTACAACCTATAAAGTGTTTTGAAACTTACTCTGCGTAATAAATTTGGAACAGTGCATTGTAAGTTTATGTTTAAAAAAAAATACTGTTATCATTAGGAAGTTTGTTCAATAAAATTTGAATTGTACTCTTAATAGTTGATAACATGAGAATTATTCTGACTGTTATGTACATCAATTATTTAGGTAAATGAGAAAATATCATTTGCATAATAATTTGGAACAGGGTGTAAAACGGTGTACAAACCAGCATACAAAAGTGCTAACGCATTTTAGCCCACAAGGTCATGGATAAAAAAGCATGCACATTCACATCCTCTTATACCCTTCTCTATTTCTACAATCAGAGGGGAGGGGTAAATAAATAGCTCTTCGAAGTCCAGCAAGATGTCAAGTTAAAACATTAAACATGAAGTACAAAAATAAATTAAAAACCTATGCAAAGCTAAGATATGAAAAATACAATTACAGGAAACACATGTAAAGATATATGGAAATACAAAAGGATAGGACCAAAGTATGAAAAATGCATGTGCAGAAAAAAATGTGCAAAAGAACACATGCAGAGAAAAGACTAATTACGTAAATCATGGGCAGGGGGAACAAAATAAATATTAAAAATGCAGAAAAATATTAACTCAGGTACATATCAAAGTCCCAATGTAAATTTAGACCATTAGGGACATAGGACTGCAACTTGTGTATCCACCACGCCTCCTCCTTTCCAGGAGCTTGTGGTGACGATTGCCACCTGTTGCCGAGAAAAACACCCACTATATGCCACAAAATTGAGAGGAAGACATACTGAAGTTTATTTACTAAAGCTGGAGAGTGCAAAATCAGGCTCACTTCTGCAGAGAAAGTAATCGGCTTCCAGGTTTTATTGTCAAAGCTTAATTGAACAAGCCAAGGTTTGAAGCTAAATGGTTTCTATGCAGAAGTGAGCCTGATTTCGCCATTAGCATTTAATAAATCACAATAGTGTTCCACTATTTGGGTTCTTAACGGGTGTGTTGCACAACCTACATACTGTAGAGCAGTGTTTTTCAACCTTTTTTGTGCAAAGGCACACTTTTTTCATGAAAAAAATCACGAGGCACACCACCATTAGAAAATGTTAAAAAAAATTACCTCTGTGCCTATATTGACTATATATAAAGTAATTCTCTTGAATAGTAATCAAACACAAAGAAATTATTTTATAATTATTTCATCCCCCCATATAGTATTTCATCCCTCATACAGTAATTCATCCCTCATATAGTAATTCATCCCCCATATAGTATTTCATCCCTCATATAGTATTTCATCCCCCCATATAGTATATTCATCCCCCATATAGTATTTCATCCCCCCATATAGTATTTCATCCCCCCATATAGTATTTCATCCCTCATATAGTAATTCATCCCTGATATAGTAATTCATCCCCCATATAGTATTTCATCCCCCCATATAGTAATTCATCCCTCATAAAGTAATTCATCCCTCATATAGTATTTCATCCCCCACAGTACTATTCCCCCCCCCCCCCCTTCTAGTAAGCCAAGTCCCCCGTGTCAATTCACTTACCTTTTGCGTTCCTCTCGCTGTCTTCCCGCGCCGTTCGGGTCTTCAGGGCGGACTGTGAGAGGAGCCTAGCTCCCCTCCCCTCACGTTCGGCACGCTGCCCCGCCTACACACATCCTGACAGCCACATCCGCAAGCCGGATTAAAAGGTCCGCGCGGACTTTTGGGGCTGCCAACCGAGAGGAGGCAGGGGAGCGGCCGACCGAGAGGAGGGAGGGGAGCAGGCGCCCGGCACACAGAAGAGCCGCATTAGACTGGGTAAAGACCGCATGTGGCTCGCGAGCCGCGGCTTGCCGACCACTGAATCATTAGATTCTAATGATTGGTCTATTTGTGAGCCGAAGCCACGTTACAGATGAAATTGGAATTTTTCCCACGGCACACCAGACAATATCTCACGGCACACTAGTGTGCCGCGGCACAGTGGTTGAAAAACGCTGCTGTAGAGAAACATGAACAATGTATCAGATAAGTAACAAAGCTGGACCCACAATTAATATAATTTTTAATACTAAAACTTGGTGGAAAAAGAAACAAATGATTAAGGGCCCGTTCACACCAAAATGAGGTGCAGGAAACCAGAGTTCCGTGCGTGTTTTCCACATTCCAACTGTACTGTGTTTTGAATGCAATCTGCAGCAGGTGTCAATATTAACTTGCGTTTGCAAATGCAGTGCATTTACCTGCACCAGATTGCATAGTACCATATGATCCCGTTGCAGAGAGTTTCTGAAAGTAGTGCCTGGCTGTCGCACCTTGATGTAAGTGGATTCTTCAATGGTACACCAGCTTTGCTCATAACCAAGTGGTTGCAGGGTATTTGTGGCGCTTCCCTATTTGCTTGAGTGTGTAGTGGTCGCCGGGCTTGCCACCTGCTGATTGCTACATGTCGGGTAAACTTTGCTGTGGGTGCAAGGCATGGAGACTGCGACATGTAAACATTCCTCTAGCTTGGCGGGGGGGGGGGGGGGGGGGGGAAGCAACTGGCAAAAATGCACGGTTGAGCCCACAAGCCTAATGTTCACACTAATGCATTTTTTTTTTTAGTGCTTTTTGCAGAATCCCACTACAGTCCATTTAACATGGTTTCCTATGTAATATGTTCACATCTATGCTTTTTTGAGCTGCTGAGTTTTTGGAAAGGGTCAGGGACTTTTTTTTTTTTTTTTTAAAGCAAAAAGCAGCATTTTTTGCTACAATAGGAATTCAATGGAGATGCTGCTGAAATGCATGGTAGTGAGTGTTTGCCATGTTTTGCATTTTTATTCTGCCCAGCAACACAAAAAAAAAATTCCACTTTACCAAAAAAAAAAAAAAAAAGAGAGCTGAATAAAAACACTGTAAAAAAGCGTCAAAACCCCATTAAAAAAAAAAAAAAACATGTAGAAAAAACGCAAAAGGAACTATGAAAAGCACTGCAAAATAGACAAAAAAAAACACTGCAGGTGTGAACGGAGCCTTACAGAAAGTTACGCGAAGCTTGCTGAAAGTTTTACAAAAGCTTGCTGTTTACACTGCTCTTCTACAAGCTGAAGCCTGTGTGAAACTGAATTTAGTTCCTGGGTGTCATCCTGCAAGTCTTTCATCAAGGGTGAGAACTAGATTTGTCCAACATCCAGACAGCTACTAGGCTACAAGTCACTGAGCAAATCAATGAAACTTGCCCAAAGTACACTTTTTTTTTTTCATTAAAACCCCAAACTCTGATTTACCTGGAAACTCTGTAGTATCCCTTTTAACCAGGCATAATCATAGAGTTGATCTGAACAAAAAAAATATTGTACTATTTTTATGCTCAAGGATATACAATTCTATTCTCCAACAGCAAATCTAACAAAGACATTCCTTAATAATAGCTGTGATTCGCAACTAGCATGCTGGGGAACATATAGCATGTGACAGGAATTCCACATGTCAACAAGGAGCAGTTATTAAAAATAATTCTATAGACTAAAGTAAAAGCACAAAATCAGGCTAGTTCAAAGTCTGCTGACACAAAAGAGAAGTTAATCATATGTGCACTTCTACAGACAATTTGTATTCTATTTAAAAATTCTTAAAGAAATATTTTTTGTAGGCATTTGCTTAAAACGCATGTACAAAATAACTCCACCCAGAGAATTACTGGATTTTTTTTTTGTGAGCTGCAGCAGTTACATTGATTCACGTGGAGAGGTGGTGTGAACCTTAACCCAGTTCTTACCATTCCATCTGAAGTATAATGAATAATTCTCTAGCATGTGGATGAAAAATGCTGATTTATTCAACTCCGACTGTCCTAACTGAGCAGATTGTTAACATTTAGGAGAATGCACAAACATGCACAGCTTACACTATACTCATTCAGCCAATAAAACAAAGTTCTATGTAGTGATTTAATCAAGGTTTATAAAGGAATCTCAACATCTGTTTACTGACTTTTGCTAAAGGTAACTTTTCATATATATTGTCCTATACTAAAAGTACTTCCTCTATCTTGGTCAGTAGAAAGAAAATGCACACTGTATCAGATATTTTATTTTCTTTATTAAATATTTTTAAAATAAAGCAGAAAAATTGCAAAAAACCCACCCACCCACAAACTGTGGTAAATGAAAACCACACAAAACTGCTGTTAACTAACCTACCCCAACCAAAAAGTAAAACAGTATGTATGTCTCAGAATAGTAAAATCATCACAAACAACCCTCAAAAGGAAAGAAGCAATTCAGTGTAAGCAACTCCCACCCCCTCCCCTCACAGCGCACTTTCAGCCCTGCACTGCAGCCTGAAACAGCACTGGTAATGGTGAGTAAAGCAGCAGGACTTGCAGAGCACTCTGGTGCACTCAAGTGGCAGAAGCCTGTACTGCAAGTATTAAGACACTTCTAAAGCTCAAGAAGCATTCCTGGCACTTCAAATTAAAAATCTCAGAATTCCCTCTTTTCTCTACCACTGCACACATCAGGTCACTGTTCGCTAACAAAATCATTTGCTCAAGTTCTTGCAGCCTGGCCACAGAAATAAAGACTGAAAAATGTTCAGCATCTGCTTTAACAGGGAGAAAGGGTAAAATGTAGGCACCAGCAGGAAGAACTTGCTGGAAGCAGAAGGGTCAGGATTCTTCATTGCCAGAGTCATCCTGATCTTCATAGCAGCTGTCACCCTCATCCTCCATGTCATCATCTTCATAGTAGTCATCGTACAAAAGATCAGATCCCTCATCTGGAGCTGGAACTTTTGTTTTTACACAATATTCAGCCAGTGTTGTTGGGACTTTGACTCCATCCATCTCTGCATCTGCCTTTGTACTGAGAACCTGTTTTCTGTAAAAATAAACAAAAAGGATGGGTACATTTTATTTTTTTTTAGTGCTGAAGGAAACCTGTATTTAGAGAAATACAAAAGGTGCACACTGCTGACACCCGCCACCTACTAACAAAACAAGGTTGTGTGCCTGGTTCTCCCTGTGATCAACAGTCATTGACCCAGAACAAATCTGTTTAATCAGGAGTTTTGACCTCAAGTGACTTCACTTGCTGCATACTTATTCTGGGTCAGTGACAACACAATCAAGCTGTAGACAACCTAGCATTTTCAGGAAGAGGCAGCCTTTGTAGGTCTCTCAGTAAAAGGTATTAAAAAGTGTTTGTTTATTCTGTTTAAAGTTCAGGAGATGTGTAAAAGCAGCGTTTTGGCAGAAAAAAAAAATAAAAAATCACAAGACGCTTATAAAAGTGTTTACAAGCATTTAGGCGCATTTACAGGCGTCAAGGACTTTGGGCGCTAATTCGTTTCACTGGCCAGATGTGTTTACACGTCAAGCATTTTTCTGCCAAAATGCTGCTGTTCTGGATGCACTGGCAGTGGGGTTTTTTTCCTGCCTCTAAAGGCTGCTAAAAGTCTATGTGAGCATTGCCACATAGGCGAGCAAGGAGTGGCATTTGGAAGTTGGAAAAAAACAATTCCTGACGCCCCTAAAAGCGGCAGTAAAACCGTCCTGTGTGCATGAGACCTAAATATAGCCAACAAATAAGTTTAGGATGTTTCCAACACCTCCTCCCACCTTCCTGAATGCCTGCTTAGAATCACACAACTACTTCAAGGTTAGGTCTGTTAATGTATAGAAAAAAATGACTTTCTGCATTCTGTGGACAGGTTTTCGTTCACAGCAGCCAGCTTTTTTTTTGTATATAGCAAACTGTCATTCTCTGACCTGAAATAATAGTTTATGAAATAGTTTTGCTGGGGTCAACAGTCCAACTTATCTTTTCACCAAAAGCTAGCACCAGATTGGTTGCTATGAATAAAACCCCAGCTGCTGGATTTTGATTTGCTAGTAAGAATTCCAAGTGAATTTTAAAAGACGAAGTCCCTGTAAGATAATAACCTCTGAAAAGCACTTTTTTTTTTTAAAAAGGTTTACAAAACTCACCAAACAGTAACATAACCAGATGAAAGAAATGTTTCCGACCGTATTATCAAAAATACAAACGATAAAACATAAAAAATGTACTATAAATGTCACAAACAAACTATAATAAAAACATGTTCTATTGTAAACAACCACCATAGAGAAAAAAAAAATAACATTGCTCCAGACAGACACAGAGCTTTGTTAGAATGTTTAAATGCTGTACACCATCACAAGAATAGTATTCTTTAGGCCTCATGTACACATGAACTCAACTAGACTTTCAGCTCTCCTGGCAGCAAAAAAACGCTAAACGCCGCAAAAAAACGCATGTAAACGCAGTAGCACTTGTACATTTACTCATTTGATTGGCCACAGTATTTTCCATTGACATGAACAAATACCCAAGCACTAAGCGCAGGTAGCGTTTCACATTAAGAACTAAATATATAAAGTGCAATGATATAAAATGCATATAAAGTGACCACACTATATTGAAAGATACAAATGACTAGTGCTAAGTATTCCCCCCAAAAAATATATAAGTGCCAAGTGCTGAGAGTGCAAGACAGGTCATGTGTTTGCTGACTAGATCGTGCCAAAATACAATATATGCAAAGTAAAAGTAATACACAATGACAATTCACACTCTAACTAAAAGTGACAGGTGCTCAGTATGAATATAGAGTGTGCAATGTCATTGTGTATTACTTTTACTTTGCTGACTAGATCTTGCCAAAATACAATATATGCAAACGCATGACCTGTCTTGCACTCTCAGCACTTGGCACTTATATATTTTTTTTGGGGGGGGGGGGGGGGAAATACTTAGCACTAGTCATTTGTATCTTTCAATACAGCGTGGTCACTTTATATGCTTTTATATTATTGTACTTTATATATTTTAGTTCTTTATGTGAAGTGCTTCACCAACATTGGTTTTTTACGTTATACATCCTGTGGTATTGGGAATAGGTAGTAGCAGCTTGCATATATTTGGGGTTTTGTTTGTTCATACCAGTGGAGCGCAGGGGGATTATTTTTCTATTTGTTGAGCGTTTCATTTTTACCATGTTTAGCTTTTTTTGGCCAAAACGTTTCACTCAGGAGTGCAATTCTTCTGCATTCAAGACGGGAACTTTTACCTGCACCTAAACTCTGCCCCTAAACTCTGGTAAAAGCCTATATGTGCATGGACACATAGGCTGTTATCGAGTTCAGGGGCTTTGGAAAAACAAAACTAAAACTGCCAAAAGCTCCTAAACTCAAGTTTAGGAGCAGCAGTGTACATGAGGCCTTAGTGTGCACACTGTTTGTGTAGTTTTCACAGAATGTATCCGAATCAGCTTTTTGAATTTAGGCTAGGTTCACACTGCTGCAATGCGATTTTTTCATCCAACTTTCAATGCAATTATGCAGTACTACTTGGATAAGGTCTGTAAAGTCTATGGGGCCAAAATCGCACTGGAATTTCAAAGTAGTACAGGAACTTTCAAAAATCCCTCTGCTGAGTCACACTAATGAGAACAGACATCACTGAATACAGTCTGATTTCCATTAACGTGCAATTCTGTGAGACTCAAGTTGCTCATGAAATCGCACTAATGTGAAACAAGCCTTAATCTCTTCATATGGGTAGTGCAACAGTATATCAGTTGTGAGCCAGACAGACCAGCATTTTACTTTTAGGTGGATGTATGATCTTTATCTCAACCACATGCACAGGCTGATATCACCAAAGTAGCTATGGCAGAGCAGCATTGCACATATTGGAGTCTTGTTTAAATTTTCACTGATATATTAGTGTAGGGATCACCGTAGCATACATAGGTGTCCTTTTATCATGCAGTGGTAAATGACCGCTGCTCAGTTCTCCGGCATTCTCGGAGAAGACAGTTCTCCTCTGAATGCCTTTTTATGAAGCGGTGTAGATCAGTTCTCCGAATGAAGGCAGAAGCAATCTACAAACACTGGAAAATGGCTGCTGTTACTATAATCTCATGAGATTACAGAAGGGATCAGTCAAACACCATTTACTAAGCAGCGGTAAATTTATCTCTGCTTCGTTTGCGGTTCCTCAGATTCTCCAGCTCTGGGCTGGAGAATCTGGAGGGAGAACACAGATCACCAATGAAGGGCTGACATCGCTCCTTCATACACTGGCCATCTGTGTGCTGAGATGATCAGTAGAGAACATGTTCTCCGCTGATCATCTCTGTTTCCTAAACCACAAATGATCGGAGATCAGCCACGATACTCAGGGTCGCCGCTGATCTCCGTTTCATAAAAGGACACCTTAATGGCTGTTATACCTGTTTATATGGCTGTTATAACTGTTATATTCAGTTCCTGTCTGCCCCCAGGGAGAGTAGCTTGGACATGTCACCCTCCTAGGAGCACCTGGGCCGACTGCAGGGATTGGGGCACAAGACGGAGCGGCCATATTGGTGTTCCCCTGTGATTCATGTGATACACCTATGGGATGAGGTGGAAAGTCTGTGTAACCAGGGAGAAAATTGTGAGTACAACCAATATGTAATAGAAGTGGCCTATAATAAACAATATTACACTATGGGAGCTCTGTTTTATGTCCTATATGACGTATGAGTGGAGGAGAAGTGGAGACCCTGTGATCCCCTGCTGAGCTACCGAAGGAGAAAGATTGGCCATAGAGGAGATTAAGTAGCCTTTTGGCCCCTTGAGGGTCAGTGCGGGGAGGTGAGCAGGCACTGCTGCCATTTGAGGATTTGTGTGTGTGTGCGCACTAGAAGTGAAGACCACGTTTTTTCACAAGCTACACCTGCATGGACTTTATTTATTTATATATATGTTATATGTATATACATTTTTGGTATATGCACGTAGAAAAGTTTTTTTATACACTTGTTCACTTTTTGAGTTTGTGATCATTTGTTCACTTAATGAGCACTTTTTTATTTATTTATATTCTTCTGTGAATGAGAAGAAGTTTTTATTGGAGGTATTAGATTATTCATCACTGGTGTGTTTATATTTATTTATATATCTATTTAGCATTTCTCACTGATATATTAAGTATTCAGTTTTGTTTCCAGTTATATACACCATTGGTTGGCATGTTCCAGTGATTTACAAGGAATTATTACACTAAAGCACTTATATTCACTGACGGCACCTAATATATGTATTTATTTATTTATTTAATTTAGCGCTTCACGTTTAAGATATATATTATTGGTTACTGAATGGTTAAGTTTTAAGTGACAGCAGCAGCTGTTTCAGATAGGGATTGTGCCTATATTGAGCGCAGGAGGATACTTTAATACTGTTATACCTGTGTGATGTCCAAGGTGTGTGTCACTCATCTGTGAATATCCATACTGTGGTCATCCAGTCTCTGGAAATCTACCCAGTGCATCTGTAATTACCAGATTTGCTCTTAGTGCAATTCATCCCTGAAAATCGTCATTTCCTCACCACAGGGCCATCTTCCACAAACAGACATGTTTTGAGGAAATGCAAAAGCCAGTATAATTAATCACTGCTGGTCAGTGCTAGACTCCAATGGCTCTATAGATGTATTTCAGGCAAATTCACTCCATTTTATACTTGCAGTCAGATAAAAATGGTGTGTGTGCCAGGTACATGGACAATCCACCAACTGTTTTAGTCAAAACAATCCTCTGACTTCTGATTCTTCTGAGAATCCCAACTCTGTATTATAGTACATATTTATCGAACAAAATGTTTATTTTTTTTGTATTTTTGATCATTGGCAACCTATTTCAATTTCTTTCTTCTGATATTATTGTTCTAAATTATTTTAACTGTTCAAGCCTACATATAAAAGCTTTAATTTACTCTTATTTTGCCTCCTTTTTTTTTTTTCTTATCTGTCTGACTCTTAAATTTAAAATCAAAAAGGATGAGAAG